CACACACACACACACACACCCCATCCACCCACAGACCCCTCTGTCCTACCCTCCCCTTTTTTCCGCCCCCTCCGCTGTTCCCCTTTTGCACATTTACACACATCTTACTCAGTTGTCCTCCTGTTTTGCCAATAGTGGTCATATATAGTTTTTGTCCTTATATGACTGAGTTATTTCACTCAGCATAATACTCCCTACTCTTTCTCTTATGTATTATGCTACACATCAGTGGTTCTCAATAGAAAAATGTTGGTTTCTATTCCCAGTTAATGCGGTTGACTTCATATTCTGGGATTAACGATGGTGTGCGAGAGGTCCGGCCCATGGGACAGTGCTACGGCCATGGGGCCACAATAAAGGGCCATGGGTTTCAGGGTAAAGACAGCATACTAACTTCACAGTGTGTTTTATCCCTCTTGATTGAAATGCCACCAAAATTACAGTAAAGGGACTATAAAAAAAAAGAAGAAACTCATACTATCAGAAAGCAAACAGGTGATAGGGTAAAGATGTGTCAGAGATGGTGAGATTGTCTCAGGATAAGGCGAGGTTTCAAGCTATTGTTCATAGGGTCTCTGTGAGTCGTCAACTTAAGGGCATGTAACAACAAAGGAAACAAACAACAGCCTGACAAACTTGGTAGACTGCCTGAACCCAGCAAAGGAAAAACCTAAGAAGCACCCCTATATTCCTACCAGTGGACTCCCCTCAAATAAAACCTCTTACCAGGAACCCTGGAAGATGGAATGGGGTGGAGCCAAAACCCAAAAGAGTTTATTCAAAGTGTTTAAAGAACAGATCATCGGTTCATCTCCAAATCATCTCCTCCACCTTGGCACCAAAGGGTTTTATTCCCTGGAAGAGAGACTAGCAAGCCCCTAGATTGGGAAGCCCCAGGCGTGGCTGAAGGTGTGGGTACAAGAGCGAAAACAGAATGTTAAAAATGCCAAATGCACACTAAACGTGAAGGTGCTTGGTCTTCCTCCATCATCCAGATTACGGAAAGCTGGCAACCTGTCCTCTACATCTAGGCAGGAGGCTAAAAGGTCTTCTGCCCAATCCAAGGATCAGTAACTGAAGATCAGACATCCTCACAAGAAAGAACCCTGCCAGATGGCTTTGCTGTAAAACCCAGATTCAGCACCCTCACAGATCACAACTTCCAGATCACAACTTGACAAGCTTTTTAGCAGCTGCTTCTAACTACCTGCTGAGAACAGTGGGTCACGAGACACACCGTGTGAAGGCCTTCCATAAAAGAGAAGCTACAGACGTCCCCAGCGGTCCCGCGGGTCTGTCTCTTGCTTCTTGTTTGGATGGAACAGACTCGGCGACTCCCCCCTTCCAGCCTCCAACTACCATCCAGTTTCATCTCCAGGCATAACCTTGGGACTGTCTTAGCCATCTCCTATTTTCAAAACCAGCTAACACCGATTTTTGTTTTGTTTTTTTTTGTTAGCCACCAAACCTTGACCAACTATGACCTCTCAGATCGGTCAAAATTATTCCACCAAAGCAGAGGACAGCGTCAACTATCTGGTCAACCTGCACATGTGGGCCTCTTACACCCACCTCTCCCTGGGCTTTTATTTTGACCTCGATGATGTGGCCTTGGAAGGCGTGGGACACTTCTTCCACGAGTTGGTGAAGGAGAAGCATGAGAGTGCCGAGTGGCTCTTGAAGCTGCAAAACCAGCGTGGCGGCCGAGTCTTCTTCCAAGACATCCAGAAGCCATCCCAGGACGAGTGGGGTAAAACCCTGAACGCTATGCAAACAGCGCTGGCCTTGGAGAACCTGAACCAAGCCCTTCTGGATCTGCAGGCCGTGGGTTCCGCCCACACTGGCTTCCATCTCTGTGACTTTCTGGAGAACCACCTCCTGGATGAGGAAGTGAAACTGCTGGAGAAGAGGGTTGACCATCTGACCAACATTTGAAGACTGGGCGGCTCCCAGTCTGGACAAGACAAGTATCGCACCCTCAAGCATGACTAGGGGCCTGCGGGGACCTGCAGGGGGACCTCTGTGTCCCCCTGCCATCAGCAGCAAGCTTTACTTCCCCCGTCCCTGCCCCCAGAATTGTATCCACCCAGAAGCCCCTTGCCCAATTCTTGGACCAAATGAAACAAAAAACCTTTTTGCAGCAAAAATAAACAGAGAGAGAAAGAGAAGCTACACAGGAAGAATTAGTGATATTGATAAAACAAATGCTTGGCAAGGAGAAGAAATCTGTTAACAACAACAAGAAGATATTTTTATTAAAACCTTCACAAGAGATAAAAAAAGAAATTACATTCAGAGAACAGGAACAGAATGGTATCAGTTTAGAAAGAAACAGTCAGTTTGGAGACCCAGGAAAGACCTCCGGGGTATCAAAACTGTGAGAGCAGAAATTAGTAACAGAATGTTTACAAGATAAGGCTAACTGAAGCTCACATAAAGAACAACAACAAAAAGATGAAGCTATACAAAGATGAAGGAAAAGGCCTGAAAATTAAAGAATCCATTCACAGAGTCTCCAGGAAATTGAAATGTGATGCAAGCCACATATATAATTTTTAAGTTATTCACATTAAAAACTTGGAAAGAAAGAGATAAAATTAATCTTCATTATCTTATAATTAACACTTAACATGTAATCAGTAAAAATGCAAAGATATATTACATTCTTTTTACATACTGTCTTCAAAATCAGTTGTATATTATATACTTAGAATGCGTCTCAAATTAAGACTCCCTACAGACTAAGGTGTGTTTGATACAGACCATGGTCTTCCCAATCACTTGTTATGCATCAGAGAGTTGGACAATGACCAAGAAGGATAGAAGGAGAATTGATGCCTTTGAGCTGTGGTGCTGGAGAAGAGTATTGAGAATACCATGGACTGCTAGGAAAACAAACAGATTTGTCCTGGAAAGGGTTAAACCAGGTGGCTCCTTGGAGGCAAGGATTCTGAGGCTCCGTCACAAGCGACTCCACGGCACATAACAACAACAACAACAACAACATTTCCAAATGCTCAGTAGCCATAGATGACTTGTGACCATCTTATTATAGTATTAGATAGACCCCAGAAGGGGAAAATTTTTTAAAAAAGCAACCCAAAACCAACAACAGGGGAGAAAGTAAATAATTTAAGAAAATGTCCTGGCACTGAAGGTTATTCGCTTCCAAATGGGAAAGGACTCTTAAAAAAGCTTGACAAAGGGGAGCTCTGGTGGCCTAGTGGTAAGAAGCTGCAACTACAATCCCAGAGGTGCACGGTTCTAATCCACCAGATGCTCTGCTGGGGAAGGAGGGACAATATCCTCCTGTACCGGTCAGATCTGATTTGACGGTCCACGCACACAATAATAAAATTTAAAAAAAATTTTAAAAAAGCCTGACGAAGTGAATGGAATAGACCTCAACCAAGACATTTCATCATGAAATTTCACAGCATCAGGGCCTCAGGGAAGACTTTACAGGCTTCAGGTGGTTGTGGTTGTTGTTGTTGTTAGGTGCAATCGACTATGACTCATAGTGACCCGGTAAACAGCAGATCTGAACCCTGCGTTCTCCTGAACCATCCTCACCCTCTGATACACCCGACCCCACTGTTCCTGTCCCTGTGTCAGTCCATCTTGTTAAGGGTCTTCCTCTCTTCCTTGGACTCTTTTTACCTTTCCCAGAATGATGTCATTTTTTTCTAGGACCAGCCCCTCCTCACAGCATGACCAGATCCTTGCCTCTGAAGGCGCACCCTTCAGGGAGGGGGTAAAAAAATAAAATGCCTTTAAAAGGATTAGGAACCAAAATGGTTTTTGACTTTTCAACCATAGATAAGGCAAAGGTAGTGTCTTAATGCCTTTAAGTTTCTAAAGGAAAGCTCTGCCAACCCATAGTTTTATTTATAGCCAGTCACAATAGCAGCAGAGCGGTTTTAAAAATAAAAGCCTTTTTGAAATATTCCATATCTCAGTGTCCCTGCCATGCTCCCTTTTCCAGGAGGTAGCTTGAGGGTGTCCATCAGTTAAAGAGAAAGAGTGTCAGCTAGGAAAATGTGAGATACAAGAACAAGGTGAAAGTAATCCCAGGTGTCGTCCTAGGGACTAAGAAATCCACCCAACCAGATTGTTGTTGTTGTTATGTGCCGTCGAGTCACCTGCGACTCATAGCGACCCTATGTACAACAGCCCTAAACGCTGCTCTGTCCTGAGCCAATCACACTGTCTCTGACTCTCCCATCCCGATTACCCCAGTCACTGAATCAATCCACCTCATAGAGGGTCTTCCCCTCCTGCGCTGTCCCTCCACCCTCCCAAGCATGATGTCCCTCTTCAAGGACCGGTCTCTCCTCACAACATGTCCAAAGTATGTCAGACAAAGCTTCAGAATCCCTGCCTCCAAGGAGCAGCCCAGCATCACACTCTCCAAGACGAACCTGTTTGTTTTCGTAGCAGTCCATGGTATATTCAGTACGCTTCTCCAGATTAGAGAGGGTCAAAGGGACCACGACAGGCCGCATCACTGTCCAGTTCATAGAATGCCTCGTAAGGCCTGACTAAAACATAGACAGCTGGCAGAGAGGATGCGGTGGAAGTAGCAGCAAGTTAACAAAAGTTCAACAGAGGAAAGAAAAAATTCCCAAATCATAAACTCTAAATATTGAGCAATTTAACTGTATGAAAAAGATGGGAAGGGCATGCAGTTAAATTAGAAAGAAGTATTCAGAAGAGCTAAAACCTCATCTCTCAGAGTGTGGAATACACAATTCCATCACGAGACAGGATTAATGTGCATGTAAGTCTGAAGGTAAAAACCACACTAATTGAGTGCTGAAAGTGCTGGTTTCTAGAATTAGAGAGAAGAGGTTAACAAGCCTTGTAAAGCTATGTATGTGTGTAAGATTCACACACATGTAACTCTTACTTGAAAAGAACCGGGAGCAGCCGTAAATCCGGGTGAGGCAGGACTCCCCCCCAGACCCAGGCTAACGCGTGGCGTGTGCTTTCCCTCCCAGCATCGAGTACTGGTTCCGCTGCATGGACGTGGACGGGGACGGGGTGCTGTCCATGTACGAGCTGGAGTACTTCTACGAGGAGCAGTGCGAGCGGATGGAAGCCATGGGCATTGAGCCCCTGCCGTTCCACGACCTGCTCTGCCAGATGCTTGACTTGGTAAAGCCAGCCAGCTATGGTGAGCCTCAAAAACGGGGCCCAAATGCCACGTGCACTGTTCATCTGCGTCACAGACTGGCACACAGGATCCCAGCCTGCCCGGAGTTATTTTAACGCTCTGAACTAAAGCGCCGTCCACACAGAGGCAGCCAGTTCAACACGTAACAACACAGCACATAACAACAACAGAGTCATCTCTGCAGGCTTCTGAAGTACAAGTGCTACAAATTTCACTTTTACTCTGACTATAGAACTAGGGAGCTTTGGTGGCATAGCCCTCAGGGAGCCCTGTTGCTAACCCCAAGGGTGCTGCCTCTCTGCCGGTTCGAATCCACCAGTGGCTCAACAGGAGAAAGATGTGCAGTCTCCTCCTGTCTGATTTACAGCCCCCCCAAAACCCACTGGAGGGTCAGCTGTGCATTGGTTTGGGCTTGCCAGCCATGATAGTAAAATATTGATAGCAAATTTCCTACTTAAGAAATGGGATTTTTTTATTTATTTTTTTATCATAGGTAGAGGCAACAGATTAGTAGGTGCCCAGGACTCAAGGAGAGAATTAATGGGAAATGACTGACTAGCTAGTGTGGGGTTCCCTTTTGGGAAGATGGGAATGTTCTGGAAGTAGATAGTGGTGATGATTGTACCATATTGTGAATGTATTAAAAGCCACTGGATTACATTAGAAGAGCTAAAATGCAAACTTAGCTTTACAAATTCATCTAATAAGAAAAAAGAAAAATTTTAAAGGAGCTCTGGTGGCCTCCTGGCAAGAAGCTGGACTGCAATCCCAAAGGCACCTGGTTCAAATCCACCAGATGCTCCGCCGGGGAGGGGCAGTCTCCTCCTGTGCCAGTCCGATCCAACTCGATAGCACACAGAAAGAAAAGAAAAATGAGGGGAAGACTTTTTTTTTTTATAGTAAAACCTGTAGAGATGGTTTAAACCTTAGTGATTTTTTTTTTCACTTGTCAAAATAGTTCTTGGTGAAATACAGCTGCTTTCTCTGTTGGCAGGCAAAGTCACGCTACGTGATCTGAAGAGATGCAGAATGGCTCATATCTTTTATGACACTTTCTTTAACCTGGAGAAATACTTGGACCATGAACAGAGAGATCCCTTCGCAGTCCAAAAGGTATTGGTATAGTTTTCACTTCTGTTGGAGGGTTCAGTATCATCTCATACCGATACGAGGGCTGCTGGGCTGTGTTAAAGATGGTCCCTGCATGCAGCCGTCTCTGATTAAGCTGGCATTCTTCACGTTGAGGTCACCTGTTATCTGTTGAAGGATGCTTCACTAAGTGACTTGTTTGGCCTGCGTTCTTGAATAGCCATTAGAAAGCAGGGATTTTTTTAAAAAAACCTTAAAGATATTATTTTTATTTAAACCTAAAATCACTCTGAAAATTTGTGTGTTAGAAATAGTTCTGGGAGAAAAAAGTATCCTTTTAATATTACTCTTAAAAAATAGCTCATTAGAGGGAGCTCTGGTGGCCTAGTGGCAAGAAGCTGCACCGCAATCCCAGAGATATGCAGTTCGAATCCACCAGATGCTCTGCTGGAGAAGGAGGGACAATCTCCTCCTGTACCAGTCAGATCCAGTTTGATGGTACACACACACAAAAATAATAAAATTTTTTTTAAAATACCTCATTAAGCATAATTATACTCCAAACTATGTTTAATTTTATTTAATCATTCCATTTATCTCTGAACAACAAAACAACTACCCCCCAAAAGCCTCTCTGTCATAAGTGACAATTTAACAACTCTCCAAACCAACAGCTGTGCTACGATCCACAAGGTACATAGTTCGAATCCAGAAGCTGCTCCGTGGTAGAAGGATGGGCAACCTCCCCCTATGCAGTTAACTGCCTCTGAAAACGTACTGGAGGGTCAGCACTGGGTCAGTTCTGACTCGATGGCACACAACAGCAACAACTCAGAAATCTAATCCAAGACATTACCCATAATACAGTGTAGGGAAAAAATGTATAGACTTCTTTTCCCACCTTGTTCATTTATTTGCATTATAAATTTATGTTTGACTTCTACTTTTCTTCATAGAACATAGTAATTATCAGGATTTGTAAGTGTCAGGATTTGTTCTGATCTACAAAGATCAGTGTTAATCAGAGAGTGTTCAATAAATTCTGGACACAGTGATGAAAAGGATATTGGTTATTAGTGATAGATAAAGATGCAAAAAAAAAAGAAAAAAGCAGCCACCAAAGTATATGACAGAGAGGAAAGAGATCTGGGATGAAGGGTATTTACAGGGTAATATCCCAGATGACGTGCTGAGCCGGCTCTTAAAGAAACAGTTAACATTTACGAGAGGAAGGGATGGTGTAGATGGACCCTCCAGTCACAGGTCACTGTCGCTAGCTGCTAGGAGCCGGGGGTACAGAAAGGTCTGTGGTTACAGGGCTCTGGAACCTCGCCGCTAAACACTGTTACAAGAGCAGGAGTTGAGGTGTGAAAATCACCACGGAGAGTCACCTGAGTCCCTTTTCTAACTTGATGAAACGGAACATTTTCCAATTCATTTTTATCAGATACACGTGGCCATGCCTCCGGCCATTCGTCTTACGTTTGTCTGTCTGCTTTCCAAGCAGGATGCTGAGAATGACGGGCCCGAGCCGTCTGACTGGGACAGGTTCGCGGCCGAGGAGTACGAGACCCTGGTGGCTGAGGAGTCGGCTCAGGCCCAGTTCCAGGAAGCGTGAGTGTGAATATTGTGGAAATCTTTGTCAGCAGGAGGGCCCACAAAGGGAATATTAAAACCATCTTAAAAAAAAAAACAAAACCCAAACCAGCTAGCACCCCTCCTCTATTTTTGCCATATTTGGGTATCACAGAAATAAGAGTATTCTAACCAACTTCAGTTAGTGTTTTCTCAGCAAACTGCTCTTCCCTTTTTCACTGATTTCCCAAGAAAGGCTTCTCATGTTCTGTTTCCTTTAATGGAGTCACATCTTACCCTGGAAATCAAGATCACTGAGTAGTCATACTAATAATGCGTTGTTGTTGTTCAATGTGCCATTGAATCGACCTTGTCACATAGCAGCCCTGTGAACAATAGCCCTGAGCCCTGCCTCCCCTCTCCTGAGCCAACCTCACCATCTCTGACATACCCACCCTTATTACCCAAGTCACTGTCAATCCATCTCATCCAGGGTCTTCTTTCCTGTGGTGACCCTTCACTGTTCCAAGCATGATGTCCCTCTCCAACACTGGTCCCTCCTGGCATTGTGCCCAAAGTATGTGAGATAGAATTTAAAAATCCTAGCCTCCAAGGAGAAACTTGTTTTCACTCTCCCCAGGATAGACCTGTTTTGTTTTCTTGGACGTCCATGGTATGTTCAATACTCTTCTCCAGCACCACCGCTCAAAGGCATCAATTCTTCTGTCATCCGTAGTCACTGTCCAGCTCTCAGATGCATGGCAAGTAATTTTGAAGACCGTGGCCTGTATCAGGCACTCCTTCGTCTCTACAATGACATCATTGTTAGTACTCTGGGGAAATCCTGACAGCAGATTTTTCCCAAAGCAACTCATCTTTTCATTTCCTGACTGCTGGTGCCAAGGCTGTTGATTGCGGATCAGAGCAAACCAATGCTTTCATGATGTCCTAAAAGAACCAAAGCACCTTTAAAAATGGATATTTTAAAAAAGGATATAAGCACATTTTTAAAATGTATTTGTCATATTATGATTTTGTATATTCACTGCAGAGCAGTCAATGACTGCCATTTCAAATTAACTATATTCAAGACCTAGTTCCCTAAAGGGACCGTGATAAGACTATTCAAGAACGTCATTGCTTGAAACAGTTCAGTTGCTGACTCTTCATCAGCTTCTAGCAACCCCTTTAGCAACCCTCCTAATCCTCCTTTACTTGCTGTTTCTCTGAGACCTTCAAACCAAAAACTCCCTGCTGTCAAGTGGAGTCATAGTGACTCTCCATCCGCTTCCCAGGCTGGGAGTAACAATGTGAGGCCTGCCTGTCTCTCTCCATCCATAGCGAAGCCACACTGCCCATGACCACTGGGCCACCCCCAGTAAAGGCCATACCAGCAGTCACTGTGTCAGTACATCTGGTTGAGGGTCTTCCTCTCATGTGCTGACCCTCCACCTTTCCACGTTTAATGTCCCTCTCCTGGAATAGCCTCCCCTAACAACATGGCCTAAATATGTGAGACAAAGCTTTGTCATCTTTGCCTCCAAGGAACAATCTTGGCTATACTTTCTCCAAGTCCTGTTTATCCTTTTTGGAATCCAGAGGATATTCAGAACTCTTCTCCAATACCACAGCTCAAAGGCATCAATCTTTCTTCTATCATCTGTATTCACTGTCCGCCTTTCAGATGCATAGCAAGCGATTGTAGGAGCATGGCCTGACTCAGGCACACCTTAGTCTTCAAGCTGACATCATTACTCTTCAGGAATTTGGAGAGGCCCCTGCCCGCAGACTTTTCCCAATGCAGCATACCCCCAGATCGCCTGACTGCTGGGACCAAGGGTGTTGATTGTGAATCCAAGTTAGATGAAGTCGCTGACAATTTGAATTTTTTTTCTCCATCTATCTTGGTGTTATCTATGAGTCCAGTGGTGAGGATGTTTGTCTTCTTGGCATTTAGATGTAACTCATTCTTGAATAGATTGTGGTGATTGAATATGAACATTCAAGAACGGAGAGGAGTGGCAGATAGGGAAATGAAACTATTTCACTCGGACTGTGGTGATGGCTATGCAGTTTTTAAAGTTTCCTAAAATGCACTGAACTGCAAAACTAACTAACACTGTTCAGTTCTACAGCATGTATATTACGCTTCAGTACAGCACTGTTTTTTAAAAGCAGTTGTTTTGTGGTGTTGTTGCTAAGTGCATAAAGCTGACTAGAATGCGCAGTGACCCTCCAGCCAACAAACTGGAAGTTTACCTTGTCCTGCACAGAATCACAGTGTGTCTGTCTTGTTCATACTTATTGCTGTATTCTCTTTGTCAAACCATCGCGTCGAAGGTCTCTTTCTGTGCTCTCCGCCTTCCCCAGGATGATAGCCTCCTCTAAGAACTGTCCCCTCCTGACAGCATGCTCCAAGGATGTTAGATGAAGCCTCACCAAAGTAAATGAGATGAAGAGTACCCTGTTTTGCACTTTCTCTCTTTTTTTGTATTATTATTATTCCTTTTAATGAAATTTTACAGACTTAGGGTTTCCATTCATTCATTGTTGCACTTTTCTTCCTGCCCACCCCTCCTCCCCCACTTAGCTCTTCTCTTTGAAAAGTAAAAGAAAAATTCTTTCATTGGTATACAATCTCTCCCCCCAAATCCACTCCACGGTGCAGCCTTCGTTCTGGACTCCTGTCATGACAGTACCCAAACATATATCCCTTTTAAACAGTTTTCTCCCTCATCTGTTTCAATGCCATATACATCATTCCTCCCCTCCTTCTCTGTCTTCCCTCAACCCCGATGTCGGTCCAGTTTCACAACAGTGGCACTATGCAATATTTGTCCTTTTGTGACTGAGATGTTTCACTCAGCATAACGTCCTCCAGGGTCACCCATTTTAAATAACATTTCATTGTTGTTATTGTTGTTATGTGCCGTCGAGTTGCTTGCTACTCATAGTAACCCTATGTACAACAGCCCTAAACTCTGCTCTGTCCTGTGCCAATCGCACCGTCTCTGACACACCCATCCCAATTACCCCAATCATGAATCAATCCACCTCATAGGGGGCCTTCCCCGTCTGTGCTGTCCCTCCACCCTACCAAGCATGATGTCCCTCTCCAAGGACCTGTCCCTCTTTGTGACATGTCCGAAGTATGTTAGACGGAGCCTTAGAATCCTTGCCTCCAAGGAGCAGCCCAGTTTGACCCTTTCCAGGATGAATCTGTTTTCCTAGCAGTCCATGGTACCCTCAATACTCTTCTCCAGCACCACAGCTCAAAGGCATCAATTCTCCTTCTATCCTCCTTAGTCATTGTCCAACTCTCTGATGTATAACAAGTGTTAGCAAAGACCATGGCCTGTATCAGACGCACCTTAGTCTCCAAAGAGACACCATTGCTCTTGTTTTTCAGTGCAGTATAGTATTCCATTGTGTGAATATACCAGAGCTTCTCTATCCATTCATTTGCTGATAGGCACTTAGGTTGTTTCCAGCTCTTAGCTACTGTGAACAAAGCCACAATAAACATGGGTGTGCATATATCTGCTTGGAATTGCTGGGTCAAATTGTATTTCTATTTGCAACTTTTTGAGAAAGTGCCATACAGCCTTCCATAGTGGTTGCACCATTTTACACTCCCACCAGCAATGAATAAGGATTTAACTTTCTCCGCAACCTCACCAGCATCTGTTGTTTGCTGTTCTGTTAAATTTTACTATTCTTACTGGGGTGAGATGATACCTCATAGTTGTTTTGTGTTTGCACTTTCTCCAAGATAGACTTCTTTTGGAAGTTCATGGGTATCCGGTACTCCTCCAACACCACAGTTCAAAGGCATTAATTCTCTTTCTGCCATCCTTATTTATTCTTCAACTTTTAGATGCCCAGAAAGCAATTGAAAATACTGTAGCTTGGATCAGGCACACCTTAGTCTTTGAAGTGATACTCTTTCACTTTAGCACGTTGCCGAGTTCTTTGACAGCTGATGTTCCCAGTACAACATGACTTTTGACTTTTTGACTGTTGCTACCCTGAATGTGGATTGTGGATCCAAGGGAAATGAAGTCGTTGACAGCTTGGATATGCAGCCAGGGTGCTCTTTGGAAGCAAGGATGATGAAGCTTCAATTCACCTGTTTTAGGCTGCTTGTTACAAGGGGGTTGGTTGTTGCAAAAAAAGTTACAAAACAGATAAGCACAAATCTTTGCCTGAAATCTACCACATATCTTAATTTGATGTACATCTTTCTGGGTATTTCCATGTAAAGGAAGGCTTTCTAAACATGGGAAGAAGAAAGCCAGTTAAAAAATGGAATTGATCGGGGAGTGCGGGGGGTAGGGGGCCTGGGCAGGGAGAGAAGTGCAGCAATGAATGAATGGAAATAAAAAATCTCTGTAAATGCTTATTAAAATAAGAAAGAGAAAAAGAGAGAGAGAAAGAAAAAAAAGGGGGGGGGATTTTAAAAAAAAAAATTAACTTGATCCTTAACTGCTCCCTAACCAGTTTTACAGGGAGCAAAATAATAGAGCACCAGTAGCCAGGAAATCAAAAAATGTATTGCGATAGAAGTCTGCGTTTAGGGACCTCTCCAAAATACTGAAGAGCAACAGTGTCTCTCTGGAGACTAAGGTCCGCCTGATACAGGCCATGGTTTTTTCAATCACTTGTTATGCATCAGAGAGTTGGACAATGACTAGGGAGGATAGAAGGAAAATTGACGCCTTTGAGCTGTGGTGCTGGAGAAGGGTATTGAATGTACCATGGACTGCCAAGAAAACAAACAGATTCATCGTAGAGAGGATTAAACCAGGCTGCTCCTTGGAGGCAAGGGTTCTGGGGCTTCGTCTGACATACTTTGGACATGTTGTAAGGAGAGACAGGTCTTTGGAGAGGGACATCATGCTGGGTAGAGTGGAGGGACAGTGCAGGAGGGGAAGACCCTCTATGAGGTGGATTGATTCAGTGACTGGGGTACTTGGGATGGGTTTGTCAGAGGCAATGAGATTGGCACAGGATAGAGCAGGGTTTAGGGCTGTTGTACG